ATTCCTGTATGCTTAAAGAAGTCCTATGGAATAACTCATTCATTAGAAAAAAAGTTCAAGCCCCCAAATGCGCCAGGTACTGCTAAGAGTAGGGCGAGTCAGATCTCCATCTCCAAATGCTCTCACATGGCCACTTGAATACAACCACTGACAGGAAAGTCCTACTCACTGCCTCCTCGTGGTATTACTGTTGTTTACGAATTGAGAGAACGAAAAGCGAAGGTCTGGCGCTTTAACCGGATTGGTAGATATAGAGGATCTACCTGGGGGTAAAAAACCTGATCCAAATCAGTGGTGCATATGGGCTCCAGTATCCTGAAGGAACAAATGACGTATGAATTGATTGTTGGTCGCCGGCTGTCATGTGACTACATCTCCCAAATTGCTCCACTGCCTTGTGGATTAGGCCTTTAGGTCAAAGGCTCCGGCTGTGGTCCTCTAAGAAAACCACCTGCTTTGGTTTGGGCACCCAAGAGGTATCATAGCCCACACACAAATCAAGTGACTTGTATGGCGCATATGTATTCAGTGCCCCTTTGTACCAATATTTATGTGTTCTAATAAATAATAAATAAATAAATATTTAATAATTGAATTCATGAGCCATTGAGTTGAACCACCATGGAAGAACTGGAAACACTGGACAACCATTTCATCTTAGTATGGGACTCCTCATCAGCGAGTATCCCCCATCCCGACCAACGAGATTAGAACCCAGGACCAATCAGTCTCGTGCGCGAATGCTTAACCTTTAGGCCAGTGAACCGGCCGGTATATAACAGTGTTAATTTCTAATATGAAATCTGAAGATAAAATATTGATTTCAAATAGATCTCATGTTAAAGTAATTGTTTAAAATGCTTAAAATTCAAGGCATCATCCTCATCGTTGTTACTCATCCAATTGATTCGAACTCATAAATTGAGTAATAAATTATTCACTTAATCAAGTTTACCATCAATAAGTTTATTTATTTATTTTAACACATAGATATTGGTACAAGGAGGCACCAAATACACATGCGCCACACAAATCTCATTTGATATGTGTGAGGGCTATGATACTGCCCGAGTGCCCAAACTAAAGTAGGTGGTTTTATTAGGAGGCCACATACAAACCCTTCGACCTGAAGGTCTGGTCAAAAAGGCAATGGAGCAACGTCAGGAGATGCAGTCCCTTGGAAGCCGGTGACCAACAATAGGTTCATACGTCATTTGTTCCTTCAGGATATTGGAGCCCATGTGCACCATTGCTATGGAATGATGGTTTTCCAACTCCCCTAGATAGAACTGCATATTCACCAGTCCGGTTAAAGCGCCAGACATTCCCTTTCTTCCTTTCAATTTCGTAAACAACAATAATACCTCGAGGAGACAGTGAGTAGGACTTCCGTGTCAGTGGTTGCATGCAAATGGCCATGTGAAAGCATTTCGAGAGAGAGAGAGATTTGACTCTCTCTAATCTCGACAGTACCAGCACATTTGAGGGCATCAAAAAGTTTACCTTTAGATCTGCTCATATTCATAAGATGAGAAGAACTGAGCAAATGGCAATATCAGTTCCTGTAGTATCTTTTTCTTTCTATTAATATTTCAATAGTTACTATCTATGAATGATACAATTCTGATGAATAACAACATGAATTCATATTCATCTATTATTGCTTATCTTAGTGACCTAATTTAAAATTGTATGTATTTAATTTATTATGATTGACATCTTTATAAAACTAAACATTATGAATGAATATACATGATTACTTTTTATTCAAATAAACATATTTAGTTGTTAAGGTTAAATGATCATTTTGTTACTAAGCCATTTGATTTAACTAAATGATTTTTAATAGTTAAACAATCTAAAATCAATTTCAATTCATTTGCTATTGTTGTCTTACTTATATTTTTTCATTATTGTTTTAAGACTGTAATTGATCAATCTCTTGTTGGTATATGTGTATCGTGTACGGATTGCATCGATATTGACTTAGTTCATAAGATTTTTAAGAAAAGATGGATAGTGGTTAGTAGTGGAATCCAGTTTGATGCGCGTTTCGTCCTATTTGGGACTCATCAACTGGATATATCTGTATCTCAGAGTTAATGTTCACTCTAGGATGGACTTGAACCCAGCAAAATTCTTTTTAAACAACATCGCGTTATACACTAAGCTACTGAGTCCCTGAGTGAGTATCAACTCTGTGATGTAGGTACATTCAATTAACGGATCGTGAATATGACGAAACGTGCATCCTGTATTACACTGCTAGTCAATATCCATCTTTGCTAAAACCAATTTATTTGCATATAACTTAATATTTTACATTTGCTACAGATTATGTATTGCATATGTTCCCTTTTTTAAATATCCAATAGTAACTGAAGGGTAAACACAGTGATTGTGTGTGTATACATATACATGAAAATTTGATAGAAATAAATATGCCTTTCTGATTACATTAATCTCGATTTGTTCTAACTTATAGTCGTCTACCCCTATCAATATATGACGTAATGATAACACCAATTAAAGAACAGTGATTTATCATCCGGACCGGTAACGCATAAAACACGTACGAACAGTCTGGAGTCTTTGTCAATCGTTCTTCCTGCCTAGCCCTGACTATCTGTTAAGTCCAGAACATCAATCTCAACCTCTGCAATATGAATCATGATATTTCAAAATACTAGGTTTAGATACCAACCAAACAGACCACATCGTACCATAACATGGAAAACAACATTTATACAAGATTTAGTCAATAGTGACTATGAATGTGGGACTGGGTATAAGTCAAGAACGGTAACTCGTATAATAATAGTTTATGGGTCAAAGTAAAGCTTATAATAAGGGGTGTACAATATACATAATCGAGCTACTAAATAGTCATACATGAAGAATATACGTATCATATTTGTTCATGAACAGTTCTCAAAAGTTACCATTCATAATTCTCTCAGAGTTGTATAGTGTAATCTCTCTATGGTTGTAGATGATGAGTGAATAAACGTCATGTATACAGACATCATGTCAGGTGGAAAACATACGAAATACCAACAACAACAAAAGACATAAATATGCACAAGTTATTGATGTAACTAACATTTATTGACGAATTACCAACATTATTGAAGTATTTACCCTGAAAACTGTTGTTCACAAGTGTAAGTTGACCCCCCATACGCCCCCACCAAAAAAACGAAGATTTTATGTGAAAAATTGTTAAGTTGTCAAAATTAGCCTCCATCAGTGACGATCAGAAATCAGAAAACATTTTATTTCTGAATAATAATCTCTGCTCTTATTGTTTCAGATATACATTTGTAGAGTCAGTGAAATGGTACTGACCCGTGGAGAAATCATCCGGTAGTTGAGTCAATAAATATCGAACAGATCATTGATCCCTGTCAAAATCAATGATACCCAACACACATCCGTTGGTCGTATGCTATGAACTGGTTCATGCGGTGATGATCTCGATAACTTCTCTATAATCATTCTTACTACTTTATGTTATACGATCTTGAAAGCAATCATAGTACTTTGATACATCGAAGGGGTTATCCATGTTAAATGCTGATCGCGAGATGTGACTGGTTTGTCACACCATTCCTGTCTAACTCAAGTAGGCCTTCAATCATTAATGTGGATGATCAAGACGTTTAAATGATTTTGCTTGTTGTATAAGGTACAGTGAAGAATAATTGCATTTCAGTCAAATTAATCATCATTTAAACAGAATCCATTTGTATAGTCTAAACTAACAGTAATCCATATCTCAATATTTAGTTGTCAATACTGATAGACATGATGGCTAGTTTAACTACCTTAACATTATGATATGTTAAGTGTTAAATAATCTACATCCAAACTATAAATGAATTAGTAATGGTATATTTAAAGTCATAAGAGAGTTTAATGCTCAATGCATTATTCAAACTTGTATTCTCTGATATCATGGTCAAAGGCGTTATCAATGCATTGTATTGATTTACCTCCATTAATCTCCTATAGGAATATATTCCATGAATTATCTTTATCATAATAAATCAGTAATGTAAATACAATTGTCAGAAAAAGGATTTTGTAATTTAATGGTTAAAATCATAAGTTAAGGAAATCTAGACCACCATGGAAAAGTTGGAAGTACTAGACGACCGTTTCATCTTACTGTGAGACTCCTCAACACTTCACATCCACGATCACATACACCAAAAAAACTCAAAGCAAACATCTTCAATCTCTTGAGTGTGAACGCTTAACCTCTAAACCACTGAGCCGGCCGGCATCCAATGCTGCTAATGATGTCCAACTTCAACCAATCCACGAAATTGAGTGACACATCCATCATTGTCATCAGTGAGTTACTATCTCACAACAGACACGGTTGATCTCCACTGATCACTGCTTCTCACTATAACTCAAGGAAATACCTCTTGCCTCCAATAACTAGTGAGCACACGGTGATTAATATCAGAAGGGGTTTTTGCGAATATTGTAGTAACTTTAATAGTTCAGACCACTAGTCAATTGAAGCTAGACCACCATGGAAAACCTGAAAGCACTAGACAGCCGTTTCATCTTACTGTGAGACTCCTCAACACTTCACATCCATGATCACATACACCAAACGAACTCAAATCAAACACATTCAATCTCTTGAATGTGAACGCTTAACCTCTAAACCACTGAACTGCCGGCATCCAATGCTGTTAATGATGTCCAACTTCAATCAATCGAAGAAATTCCTTCAACATCTACCATTGTCATCAATGAGTTACTCACTTACAATAGACCTGGTTGTATACAATTGTTTACATTTGGAAAAATAACAGATTTGCTTTTCCACAAACATAATTAAGTTCCTTAAAATCCACCCCCCCCCCAAAAAAAACAAAAAAATTTATAGCATTTTTGTTCGTTTGTTTATTTGTTTGTATGTAAACAGTTTTCTCTTATTTTTTTTTCCCTCTCATTCAATGATCAATATTACAAATTGTTTATTTGAATTCGTTACATTGAACACGTTCTTCTGTAATGAAGAAAAGAAAAAAAAAGAAAAATTATTATTATTCCTTTTTCAATTCATCAAAACAAAATTCATTTAGTGTTGTTTTATTTGTATTTTTTTTCACATTGTTGTTAAGGACTGCAATCAACTAGTCTCTCTTATTGGTAATATATGCGGATTGCTTCGATATTGACTTCATTCACAAGTATTATTATACAAAGATGGATGTGTGTTTTATTCTATTTGAGACTGGTCAACTGGATATATCCGTATTCGAGAGTTAATTTCCATTCCGGAACTCGAACCGAGTACCGTTCACTTCAAACATGATTGCGTTATCCATTTAGTTACTAAGTATTGATAGCCACCTCCTTGTGTAATGGGGTGAAGTAATATTCACTAGATGTTATTTATTTGTATCTTACTGTTATTATTTAGGACTGGAATTGATCAGTCTCTTGTTGGCATATGTGCATCCTGTGCGATTTGACTTGATATTGGATTCCACTGCTAGCCACTATCCATCTTTGCTTATAATGCTTGTGAATTAAGGCAATATTGAGACAATACACATAGTATGCATATATGCCAATAAGAGATTGATCAATTCTAATCCTAAACATCAATGGGAAGATCTCATTGCACAAGCAAGCTAAACCACCATGGAAAACCTGGAAGCACTGAACAACCATTTCCCACTAGTATAGGACTCTTCGACACTATGATATCAAAGCTCCTAGGCTCGTGTCCTAGGTACAGGATCGTGGATGTGCACTGTTGATGAGTCTCATACTTGAACAAAACGATTGTTCAGCGCTTTCAGGGTTTCCATGGTGGTGACTTTTTACTAAGATGACATTGAAAATTAACGTAATGTACAACTGTTCCATTCTATATGGAAATGCTCTTTAATGCTGAAGTATCGATCCAGCTATGAAATGAACCTAGGTCAATTAGATCTGTACATCCCGGGCGGTTTGCTTGAATATCTGGGCTACCTGTTCCTACCATCGATTTAGATATTTGAACAAGTTATCTGTTTCCTTGTTTTGTTTTTTAACATATCATTATTGGCTATTATTCACATAACCTATTCTGATGTGTTTCTAGAAAGTGTACAACCTTTCGTTGTACAAGCTAGAAAAGAGCCCAATCAGAGATATTGTGGTTACTGGTAATATGCAGCGAAATGAATGTACATTGTTTAGATGTCGACTGACTGGACTGCTAACTTCTAACTGGTGATCACTCATTATGTTATCGTCAGAATCGATCAAGAAGTAAAAAAAATGAGAAACTTGTTGAAATACTTTGTGTTGAGAATTCTATGTTGTGACAAAAATACATAATATTGAATAAAGCCACTAATAATAATAATATCAAGTTGGGTTTTGTGGAGACTTTAGAAATTTCACTGCTTGAAATCATGAATCAATTGAAGCTGGACCACCATGGTAAACCTGAAGGCACTAGACAGCCGTTCCGTTCTAGTACGGAACTCCTCAGCAGTGCGCATCCACAATCCCGCACCCCGCGAAATTTGAACCCAGGATTTATCAGTCTCGCACCAGGCGCTTAACCAATAGACCACTGAGCTGGCCGGTATCCAACGGTGTTAATGTCTAACTTCAATCAATCCACGAAGTTGCGCCACCGTACACCATGTTTCAGGCAAATTGATATCTCACAACAGACCTGGTTGAACTCCACTGGTATTATTATGTGTAAGAACGAATGCTAATACCCAGCTTCCCAAATTGAAATAGGCAGATAGGGTTTGAACTTGAGTTAGTGGCTAATAATCGAACACTTTAACAACAAAACCCTTGATCTATCGGCTTCATCTCCAACTTCAGTAAATCTCGTCAGTAATATTGATTGCAATTCTGATATAAAAATTCTACTAATTAGGGCTTTTCATTAAAGAACTTCTCTAGAAATTCATCATTTGTAAGTGTTGAATTATTCTTTATCTAATTCATTGTATAGTCATGAAATAGTTTTTGTTACAGACTAAAAGTACGTGACACTTTCCTGATATAACATATTGACAATATTCATCATCTTAGTAAAGAATTAAACCAAATTTGATATGTTTTGTCATTGAATGCTACTTGTTATTATCTGATCATCGCTGATTGTTATGTCGGAAACACTTATCATTGATATTCGAAACGACAAACCTCCACAATTCCCACGATGCAAAAAGTAAGAACACAATGACTGATATAAGTGAAGATTTATTAACCTTCAAAACACAATGATGACGACGACGATGACCAGATATAAAAAAGTAGCATTAAACGACAAGACATATCAATGGCAATGGGGATGGGATTTTGGGAAAAAGTTGACAAGACATATCAACATTTACTTTAATAATGATTGATACTCATCGGAACTATTATCATTATTGATCCATTTTGAATTATAATTAAAGTAATCAGTGAATAATGATATTTCAGCTTATTAATCATTCATGTTTAACACTGTATCCATCTATACTGAGTATATATATATGTATATTTAGTAAATGTCTACCTACATCATATATTCAACTGTATATTGAAAAGGTAAATGAATGTAAGTCACTCTTTTGTACACATAGGCAACAACTATATAGATAGATACATAGATAGATATACTAAAATAGATTAAGTCGTTAAACAGGGTGGTATACATGTATGTGGTTTTTGGGGGAAAAAACAAACAAACAGGAACAAACAAACTATCCGGTTCAACATGTTATTATCATTTTATCTGATCAATTTAGGCTAAATGAAACTTATGGGAATGGAATGGTTGTTTTTGTTTTTTCCCATTTGATGATCTATTGATTTACAATTTTCTTTTAGTGACAACGATATAATTATGTATATTGATGATAGCGATAAGTCTTGTCGACTGAACGCTATATTTATTTCCTATGCTATTCCGATGACCCTCATGCTAGAACTACACAGCAACTTGAACACCAGAGAGAAGATGCAAGTATGAGAGAAAATACTTTATCCCAAGGTTCGTTTTATTACAGAAAATATAGGGTTTTTATAATATGCTTAAATGTCCTTGGGTTGCTAGAAGATTCTGGAATGCTACTAAACATAGTAGCAGTATAGCAACCAATCAATCAGAAACACTACATGTGACATTTCTGGCTAAAACTTCAGATGAACACTGATTGGGGGAAACGCTTCTTACTGTTTCCTGACCTTTGGCTTGAACTTTGCGGGAAATTTACTGGGTCATCCCAACAGATAGATATTATGAACAAATTCAATGAAACATAATTTCACCTGAAGTCCCTCTAGAGCTACTGTCAGTTTGAAGTGAACAGTACTGGGTTCGAGTCCCTCCCAGAGTGAACATCAAATCTGAGATGAAGGTACATTCAACTGACGAGTCCCGAATAGGACAAAACACGCGCCAAACTGAATTCCATTGTTGACCTCTATCCATCTTTGCTTAAAATGGTAACTATTCGTTGCTGTTTTTTTCAAAGATAGTTTCTTTACTAATCACCTGATGTGTAATATATATAAAACTGAACATTATAAACCGCGAGACTCTAATTTATGGACGACCTTTGAACGAATCTTAAGTGACCTTGAGAATTATTAGACAATCAGCAAACAGTCAGTATAGAATAAAAATATGTTATACAAAACCAAGGAAATAAAGTGGATACACTTCTTATACGTGGCTCAAAAACTTGTCAAGGTTAGAAAAGGTTCAGAGGTTCTAAAATCCTAATGCATGCAGTAGAGGAAATCATCCATACGGCTACAGAATAGTCGGCCTATGGAGCCATGATAAAGTCTCAAAAACTATTTCAGCCTCGACTCCATAGATTCAATATTGTTTATGTGCACTCCGGTTGTTGATTGCACAAAATTGCTACTTGTGGATAACGATACGATGCACGTAACCAAGCCTATGTAGGAGTTTGTAGGCTCTCCAAACATCCGTATATATTGTAGTACCTGGCTGCATCCAGTGTTACTGGTGCTTTTACTATCCAGTTCGCAATAATTGTCAAAATTTGCCTTAGTTAGGAATTATATATGTGGTTTCCATCACGAACTGACATCAGCTATAATGCCAGGAGTTTATTTAACCAAAGGGATGAAAGGCTCTCGCGTTAAAATCCGAGATCTATTATCTTGTACCTGATTGATTCGTCCACAAATTATAGTCTCGCCGTTTTATTTTTTATAGCCGTTCAATGATCACGTTTGTACAAAATTCGTTGTGAACCCATCGTACGTTAGCATTAAGCACTGAAGTTGGTGCCGTAACCCTGAAATCTCTAAAACACTTCTGATTGGCTCGTCCATAAATTAAAGTCTCGCCATTTTAACCATTTTAACCATCAAACACTTTATATAAGATATGATAATCTATTCAAATGTATGGGAAACCTATTTTACAACTATACAATGAGTAGCACTAAATCTTCATGTTTTAAATTCATTTTACCTCTATATCTATTGTCTGAAAGAATAATGAACAAGTAACAAGAACATTGGAATTGATGCATCTAAAGTATACAGTAAATAAACAAGCAATCATTGGTACAAATAAATTGGTAGTAAACTTAGTGATTATAGATGGATAGTAGACTTTGAGTTTTAAGAACTATCAGAAAGGGTTTCTGCGGATATTATAGTAATTTCAATAGTTGAGATCATGAGTCAACTGAAGCTTGACCGCTATGGATGTGTCGTTCAATTTCATGTATTATTTGAAAATAGACATTATCACCATTGGATGCCGGCCGGCTGACTGGTGTAGAGGTTAAGCATTCGCGCACGAGACTGATAACTTCTAAGTTTGAGTCTAGCGAGGCAGGATCGTGCGTATGCACTTCTGAAGAGTCCCGGAATAGGACGAAACGGCCGTCCAGTACTTCCAGGTTTTCTATGGCGGTCTAGCTCCAATTGACACATGATCTCAACTATTTAAAAACAGTTGAATACATGAGTTAATTAAAGTTAGACCATCATGAAAATCCTGGAAATCCTGGGCGACCGTTTCGTCCTATATTTTCAAATAATTAAAATCGAAATGTTGTTAAACTGGAGCTTTGTACTATATTGAATAATTACTGTTAGAAATTCATTATTCTACAGAATTTACAGTATGGAATAAAGAAATTGTCATGATTTCTATAAACCTGTTCAAGTTTCAGTCAGTCAGCTAAACGTAGGACCAGGCACATATATGCATCGGTTCAAGTTGCCATACTTCATTAGCAAAACAAGATCAACACCAAATTCACAGAGGTAGTTAACTCAATGGTAGGAATATATGAAAAGATTCCATATAAGGATATAGTACAAGAAAAAAGAATTAGTTCGTAGAAAGAAAGATATGAAGCGATTTTAATCTCTTAGTTTAAGGGAAGACAGAGAGTGTATACACCGATGCCATTGTGATCGATCGATTCTGAGCCATGTCACCAAGAATCTCCAACCATTGGTTACAATAGTCACGCGGACCCCAAACAAGTAGTCTGTGTCTACCAACATGGCTCAGACTAGAAGTTAGTGACTTTACACACTGGTGCCACGTTTTGGTTTGGCCGCCCCTAACTTTCTTCCAACTATCCCATACACTAGTCAGCATTGTGCGTCGTAGTAATCAATGTTCAGGTATATGTAACACGTGGCGTAACCATTTCATTCGACGAAGATTCACAACCTCATCAACTGATTTACCATCATTCCTTAATACCCTACCTCTAACCTCAATATTACTTATCAGGTGATCCTAACAGATGCGACCGGTATTTCTACTGTTAATGGCCAGGTCTCGCAGCCGTAAAGTAGAAATGAACGAACTGCTGCGCAGTATAATCGTCCGTTTATTGATAGACGGATATCTCACCATCGCCATAGATGACATAAATTGGTAAGAGCCATCTGAGCTTTCTGAATCCGTGGACAGATTTCGTCAGGCACTAACCCAATAGGGATGGTCAGACTTCCAAGATACGTGAAGTTGTCGACGCATTCGACTACTTCACTCCCTATCCCTAGTCAGGTGTTGACGCAGACCAGTCCTGGAGTAACAACTTACATTTAGAGGGGGGAGAAACGCATTCCAAACATTCTGGCATCGTTGCTTAGCGCTATCACAAAAGTGCATTTTATCAACGTCTTCACTAAACAGGACTATATCATCTGCGTATTCTAAGTCGATAAGTGTACCTCCTGGAACGAGATCAATACCCGAGAATTCAGTCGACGAGAATGTTATTTCCACCAGTGGGTCTATGATGAAGTTGAACGAAAATGGAGAAAGTGGACAGCCTTGATGGACACTACTTAAGGTTTCGAAAGCAGATAACAATTCGCCATAAGCTCTGACTCAACTAGTAGTGTTCGATTAAAGAACCTTCACAAGGTTTCTGTTCTTCTAAAGTACACCTTTCAATGTCAGACATTGCCACAAAACCTCTAGGTCTACAGAGTCAAATACTGCTTTTAGATCAAGAAAAACTATCATCGTAGGATACCAATAAGCATATCTATGTTCTGTAACACGACTAGTAGTGAATATATCTTCAATGCAGTCACGACCAGGTCTAAAGTCAACCTAATTCTCTCGTATCTACAGTTCACAAGTCTTTGTTAAGCTCTCGATAATTATTGACGCTAGTATTATAGATGTTATATTAGTCAAGGTTAAGAAAAACATAAACACAATGATACACATACATTCAACTGTATGTATCAACAGAAAGAAAAGATGAAATTCGCATCTTGGATCTAGTTATTCGATTGGAGATCTATGTAAGTTTATGTTTATTGATCAATTTCCCCCCCCATTACAAAGTGACATTATATAAACATTCACGTCTACTGTATCTTCTTTATTCCCATTCATTAATCATTCGTTTCTTTTCTCTTATCCTATATCTATGGTTACTTGGGATAATGATGAATTCAATGCATTCAACATATTAATCATTTATTGTTTATAATAATAATAATAAGTTATGTCGTTATTTATATACCTCAAATTATTGATTGAATCATATTGATTAATTGAAAATTGTCAAATAAAGAAAGTATTTTTTTTATAAATGATTTCATAGAAATGAGCGGCCTATGCTCCTTCACGAGGAGTAACAGGCGTAAGTAAGTAAGTTTCCAGGTATTTCATGATGGTCTAGCTTCAATTGACTCATGATCTTAACTATTGAAATTACTATAATATCTACAAAACTCCTATTTGATATAATTCAACATATGCTCACTAGTGATAGGCTTCAAGAGGTATATTCTGGAGTTCTAATGAGAAGCAGTGATCAGTGGAGATCAACTGGGTCTGTTGTGAGATAGTAACTCGCTAATGAAAATGCTGGATGTGTCGCTCAATTTCGTGGATTAGTTGAAGGTAGACATTAACACCGTTGGATGCTGGCCAGTTCAGTGGTTTAGAGGTTAAGCGTTCACATCAAGAGATTGAATGTGTTTGCTTTGAGTTCGTTTGGTGTATGTGATCGTGGATGTGAAGTGTTGAGGAGTCTCACAGTAAGATGAAACGGTTGTCTAGTGCTTTTAGGTTTTCCACGGTGGTCTAGCTTCAATTGACTCATGGTCAGAACTATTAAAGTTACTACAATATTCGCAAAAATCCCTTCTGATACTTATTAATTGTTCCTTCGAACTTTTTTTAATAGAATATAACACAAATTTTAAGGGTGAAGGAATTTGTGGGGAACGATCAGATTTATAATGAAATTGACTTCTATACACTTTTGAGAATGTTCCTAATCGCACAAAAAGACATGGAATGTTCGTGTTATCCCGACTGAAGAATATTTTGAAAACGACAATTCTAAGATCTTATTTTACTAATTTATCAGAGAGATCATTGTTGTAGTGATCCAGAAAATTACTTGCGAAAGACATGCAAGGATCAGGAAACACTAAGAAGCTGGTGGAGAAGATTTGTAGCTCAGGTAGATGATTTTGGTGGAGTTTTGTTCTCTGAGCTGGATGGTTTGGTCGTGGAGCTTTCATCGTTCTCAGAGAACAAAACTCCACCAAAAACACTAAGAAGCCTTTCATCCAATCAGTGTTTACTTGAAGTTTTAGCCAAAAATATCAAGGAAGTGGAATGTTACATGAAGAGGCTCTGATTAGCTGATTGCTACACTGCTACTATGTTTAGTAGTATTCCAGAATCTTCTAGCAACCTAAGAACATTTAAAATATTATAAAAACCCTGTATTTTCTGTATTGAAATGAATCTTGAAGTAAGGTACTTCTCGCATACTTTGCATCTTCTCTCTCATTGTTCAGGTTGCTGTATAGTTCTAGCTTGGGGGGTTACAGAATAGCTTAAAAGACGAATATAGCGTTCGAATTAACAAGACTTATCCATCATATACATATTGTAAATACATAAATATATTCAATTAACTAACCTTGAGGAATATCAAAACAATTATGCCATTGATCAAATGATATTCCACCAGAACCGGAACATCGATTAATAAATACTTCTAAACACGGTGTTGAAGGTAATAACAATTGATATAAGTAGTTCAAATCATCTTGTTGTAATGATCTAATAAAGAATAAACAAAATATTCATATCATGATCAAATATATAAAACATAAAAAAAACAAGGCACAATTCTTTAAGAGATTAAATGACACAAGCTATAATCTCTGGACGAAATGATCAATTATGTCAAGAGAGAAGATGGGCATTGATGGTGGATGAAATCATCAGCAGAACAAATTCCAGCTAGAACACTCCAAAGTCGCTAATAAGAAGACAGAATACAAGTGAAAGGAATGTTATTCCAAAACAGTGTCAATTATGGTACAAAACTGTCAGATATTTATAGTTCTTTTTTAGTCAAAACGAAATCATCATTATAGTCCTCCAATCCGCATATATGAGGTTATTAATATTTGTTCAACAGGGAAGCTCCATGTAGGGATTCTGGAATATTCTTTCAAAAGATAATTAGATGAAACATCTTTGGCTCTTTCTGAGCTTCTTAGGGCTACCTCAAGTTCACCTATGGACTGTCGTAAAATAGATATAGATATCCAACCGAGTAGAAACATTAGATTTGCTGATGTTTCGTGACTCATTGTAATCCACTTCTTCAGTGAAGAAATAAACAAATTAAAATTAATTCATGATCGGACACATGGGACTCAATGAGTTTGTTTTATAACAACAAAGGTATCGTCTACATATCGAAGTTAAAGTAATGGTTTCATATCATTGGATAGATAGTCCAAGTCGGACATATAGTGGGGTCTTCTTTTCTATCGAAAGCAGTAGTCTGGTGTGTGCTACTTAAATTGACATAAGTAGTAAATGTTAGTCGTGAACAGAAGGTTTGACAGCAGAGAGACAAGAGGATCGAACAGTAGAGAATAGGAACAGAATGCAATTTGTATGACAATGCAAGAACAATAGAGTCTGAGTCATTATGAGACAATTGATGGAGATTTTGCAAATTAAGCATTTACATTATGATTGTTAGATTTTATTAACAAGTTCTGTAATTTTGTGTTAAGTGCATTCGGTTGTCCTACTGATGTTCTGTTCACTACATTTGTTGACGCTGCCAACCAGGAGGGGAAGGGTGCTGTTCTGCGAAGGCCGTTGCGGGCCTGGAGCTGAGGTGCTAGTTGGGGCATTGTGATGCGGGGGAGTGTCGTCGAGTGGAGTGTTCTGGCGGGGCGGCTTTGGCCGCACTAGGTGATGCCGACGGAGAGGGGCGGTGGGACATGCGGCTGATGGGTGGACATCGGATGTAGATGGCTCGGCAGGCCAGTGGAGCACGGGTGTTAAGGTGCCGGGTGGAGGTCGGATGTTGTTGCGCCGGCAGGTCGACGGAGGTCGGCGCGCCGCAGACTCGACATTTTGACGGAGAGCGTAGCACAGACTACAGAGATGAAGAATGTGGCACGGCGAGCATGAACCACCGCAAGAACGGCTGCCTTAAAGGGGGGACGAGTGTGGTGTGTGCTATTTATATTGACATAAGTAGTAGATGATGTTAGTCGTGAACAGAAGGTCTGACAGCAAGGAGACAAGAGGATCGAACAGTAAAGAATGGCAACAGAATGCAATTTGTATGAAGATGCGAGAACAATCAAGTCTGAGTCATTTTGTGACAGTTGGTGGACATTTTGCAAATCGAAAATTATCAAAACAAAACACTAAAAATGTATCTATTTATTATTGATCAAATATGTTTTAGTTATTGAACTAATTCAATTGATAATATACACTTCTAGAATGTTTGAATCAGTTCAATGTGTTCACAGAGAACATTGAGATTACATGGGAAATTGCACTGTAAAGCTCTAAGCAACTAAAGTTTTCACAGCTGTTCATTATTATATACGTAATGTGTTTAAAGTGAACAATTTTTGTACGTTGGTATGTATCAGTATAACAAACGGAAATCATGGAGTATATATGTCTAAAATGACCCAGACAAAGACATGTAAATGATGACATTGGCCAGATGATTAATTCACTCATTCATAATAAGCCACCAACAGTTGATTTTCTCACTTATCATCATATGATCTATCTGTCTTTGTCTGATGTATTCTAATATAAAGATTAAAATGAATAATGAACGAATGATGATAATCAAGAATAAGTCTTCATTGATATGGGTTACATCTATGTCTGTATTCATCAATATAATCGTATTCGTAACTTTAAGAAGAAGAAGAAGAAGAAGGTGTTACAGAACTGAATCATCATTATTCAGTGCTACCTACAGATCAATATCATTACCTGATACTTTCAGGTTATCATTTGATTTAGTAATAAAGTTATCATTGAATAACAATATTTCACTGATTGAAATCATGAGTCAATTGAAGTTAGACAACCATGGAAAACCTGGAGGCACTGGACAGCCGTTTCTTCCTAGTACGAGACTCCTCAGCAGTGCGCATCCACGATCCCGCCCCCCCGAAGAGACTTGAACCCAGGACCTACCAGTCTCGCACCAGGCGATTAACCAACTAGACCACTAAGCCGGCACCCAACGGTGTTAATGATGTCCAACTTCAACCAATCCACGAAGTTGAGCCACCGTACACCATTATCTTCAGTGAGTTGATATCTCACAACAGACCTGGTTGAACTCCACTGGTAACGGCTTCTCACTAGAACCCCAGGAGTATCTCTTGAAGTCAGTCACTAGTGAGCAGATGATTAATATCATTCATTCTATACCTTAAATCAATCTATCATGGAAATAACGATGAAAAGACCTCCTTTTATTTCTATAAATAAACATATTAAAAGTACTTTTTCTATCATCAACTCATATTCATGTTTAAACGAGTTTCAATGTAGAATTTGTGAATAAAATAAGAAAGTGCAAAATACATTGCAGTAGCCAAATTATAGAATAAACCTTATAATTCACCTTTCGTTTTGTTACTATCGTGTTTTACTTGTTTTAAACAAATTATATTCATGTAATAAGGTGCTTCATCATCATGATCATATAAGCAAAGATGGATAGTAGCTAGCAGTGGTCGCGCGTTTCGTCCTATTGGGAACTCGTCAATTGAACGTACCTGCGTCTCAGAGTTGATGTGAATTAAAGCAATATCGAGGCAATCCACACAGCATACAGATATGCTAATAAGAGACAGATCATCTTTAGTCCTAAACATTGATGAAAAGATTCATGTAAACAATACCAAGTGAATTTAAACTCCCCTCTCCCCTACATCGCATCAGCAAGTTGCTATCAGGACTCAGTTTGAGACCTGAAGTGAACACTATATCTTCTCCTTAATCTCTTACAAATCATTATTATCATTATGATTACATCATATTCAATAGTTAATCAACAACAACAACAACATTTCATTAGCTTTTATTCATACAGAACTCATATACACAATTGTGATCAGATTTTCTTTATATTACTATTGTTGCTACTATTATTATTACTACTACCAATATTGTTGTTACTATCAGTATCATCATTACTATTAATATTACTATAATTTCTACTGTTATATCCTGATAAGTATAATGAATGGTAATCTTTTAGGATCCATTTGTGGATCAATACTATGAGTAGATTTTTATCGTTTAATTGTTATGTTACTAAACTGTTCATATTCATGTCCCTTTTATTATGAACTTTATTCTGATCTATAGACTATTATTATACGATTTATCATTCTTGAGTTATGGCTTGTCTATCAGTTACTATTTCCCACATTCACAGATACATTTAGGTAAATCTCGGAAGAATGTTGTTTCCTATTTTATTGGTACGTTGTGGTCTATCTGGTTGATATATAAACCCAGTATATTTTAAATAAATGATTCGTATGGTGGAGGCTGAGAATGATGTTCTGAACTTAACTGGCTGGGCTAGACAGGAAGCAGGGACGATCAGGACTCTAGACTGCTCGTACAGGTTTTATGCGTCACTGGTTCGATCGATAATTCGCTGCTCTCTGATTGGCGATATCGCAACACAGAGATGAATCCATGGGAATAAAGTTTTGTTAAGAGTATGAAGTAGTTATTTCATTGAATAAGATATTGAATTAGAATTATGTTATAGAATGAATCAAATGGAAGTTAGATAAACAGTTGAATAGTTGAATGATACCTTAGTAATATGAGTTAATTATTTATTATTAGTATAAATGGTTCTATTCAATATCATGTATTTTTTTGCTAGAACATGAAATTCTCAACACAAAAGTATTTCAACAAATTTCTCATTTCTTACTTCTTCTTGGTTCATCTTGACGATAACATATTGAGTAATCGTCAATTAGATGTTAACAATTCAAGAACCCATTATGATAATAATAATCACCTGCTCACTAGTGACTGACTTCAAGAGATACTTCTGGAGTTCTAGTGAGAAGTCGTTATCAGTGGAGTTCAACCAGGTCTGTTGTGAGATATCAACTCATTGAAGACAATGGTGTACGGTGGCGCAACTTCATGGATTGGTTGAAGTTAGACATTAACACCGTTGGATGCCGGTTGGCTCAGTGGTCTACTGGTTAAGTGCCTGGTGCGAGACCGATAGGTTCAGGGTTCGAATCTCGCGGGGTGCGGGATTGTGGATGCGCACTGCTGAGGAGTCCCATACTAGGACGAGACGGCCGTCCAGGGTTTCCAGGTTTCCCATGGTTGTCTAGCTTCAATTGACTCATGATTTTAAGCAGTGAAATTTCTAAAAATCTCCACAAAACTCATTCTGATAATAATTCAGGAATCATTATTTGAATCATGTACAATCGTTTCTATACATACTACTTACAACAAGCACAATGTCTCTGATTGGGCTTTTTTCGCAGCTTGTACAGCGAAATGACGTACACTTATCACAAACTCACCTGAATACGTTATGCGAAGAATGGACATAATGATAATGTTAAAACAACCAAGAAAACAGATAACGTGTTGAAATATCTAGATCGATGGTAGGAACAGGTACCCTAGATGTTTAACCAGACCACCAAAAAGTAAAAAATAATAATGATATCAGATTTTGAATAGTTGATATCATGAGTCGATTAAAGCTAGACCATCATGGAAAACTTTGAAACACTAGATCATCGTTTCGTCCTTGTATGTGACTCTTCAGCACAGTGAGATCGGAGGTTCTGGGTTAAAGTTCTGCATGCAAGATCATAGATACACTACTGTTGAGGAGTCCTAGACTATTCAATGCTTCCAGTTCTTCAATCGTAGTCTAGTTTTCATCGATTCATGAATTCAATGACTACAATCTTTACAAAATCCCCTTCTCTTTCTGATAATATTTATTATTCACAAACTGTTTCTTATCATTCAGGTCAAATAATTTTCATCATTTCATTAACCTATTCAACAAATCATCTAGTTAAGGTTGTTTATTAAATTAATATATTGTGAATAGTTTCTATTTAGGTCAGATCATTAAACATGTTCATATTGAATAGGTGGTAAGTCATGGTGTATTTCCCACCTTGTTAGTCAATAAACTAGTCTGGATGTTCAATAGTCTACTATTACAAAACATACAAAAAGAAGCAAAATAGAAGAAACCCTTCTATGTTCCTTTTTGTTGCTTCTATATCAACTAGACCACCCTACGAATCAATCAACCAACCAACCACCCACCAAACCATCATACTTAACTATAGTTTGATTTATCATTGAAATCAATGTCTTCATGTATATAATATTGAAGTTACTATTGAACAATTTGAGAAATTGGTTAGTAACAGATCATTGAAAACTAGTTAAAGATTAGCTTCAATTATAATATTTCTGGTAGGTAAAATGTAATGGATAATGTTTTCTTCTCAACAATGAATATGCATGACTTTTTCTAATAGTTAAATTATTTATATCGTCTTGGAAACAAGTTAGTTTCAAATGTTGATTGATTGAAGTTCGACATTAACACCATTAGATGCTGGCCAGCTCAGTGGTCTAATGGTTAAGCGCTCGTGCACGAGACTGATAAGTCATGGGTTCGAGTCTCGCAGGGGAGACGGGATAGTGGATGTTCACTACTGAAAAGTTCCATACTAGTAGGGGACGACTGTCTCGTTCTTTCAGGTTTCCTATGATTATCTAGCTTCAATTGACTCATAATCTCAACTATTAAAATTCCTAGTCTAATAAGAAAAAAAAATTTCAATGGTTAAGATCATGAGTCAGTTAAAGCTAGACCACTGTGGAAAACCTGGAAGCACTGGACGACCGTTTCGTCCTATTGTGGGACTCCTCAGTACTACACATCCACGACCTCGCCCTCTGCGAGATTCGAATCCAGGACCTACTGGTTTCGTGGGCGAGCACTTAACCACTAGATCACAGAGCCGGCATCCAACATCCTGTATTATAGCTAAAAAATTTCTCCATTGATATATAAGAAAGAATGTATTGAATTGAATAAAAGTATATAATGATTAAAAGCAAGAATCAAACATAAAAATTAAATTTAACTAACCCTCTATTCCTTCGATCAAGTTCACAAAACCAATAACTAATCACAGCACCATTAACTCTTTCATGAGGTGAACTTTGTGATACTAATTTACTTGTAGTACTTCTTGCTTTAGCATCCATTGGACGAAGTAGACTATCATCATCATTTGACCAAGAAGCAGAAGACCACTGTATAATAAAAATTATGAAAAAAATTCTTAAGAAATGAAACAGTAAATTCTAAAGTTAAATTCACTTGGCATTGTTTACTAGAACCTTCTCATTGGTGTTTAGGACTGCAATTGATCAATCTTTTATTGACATATGTGACCACTATGCGTATCGCTTCTATATTGTCTTAATTCACAAGCTTATGATAAAAAATTCCTTGCAACTAGGAAGAGTTGAATTCAAAAGTTTCCCATCCACATACAACAAGTTATTCGTTACACTAGTGTGATTGTTTGTTGAGGACCCTAAGAGTATGGAAGACAAAATTAAACTTAAATCACAGGTCATTGACCAGGATAATTCAACAGGTAGTGGCTCTATTTATTTATATCACCGAGAAGCATTGTCTTAAGCCGATGATTTGTCTTTCTGGTTTCGCCTAAGCACTTCGGTGACATTTTATTCTTCTTTTGATTTCATTGAAGAAACTATTGTAGGATTAGTTATATGAGTGAAGTTTTAGCCTATCTACCTATGGAGTTTACATACATCTTTTACAACAACGTACTAACCCTATAAAAATACCTGATCAAATGAGCTTTCAAAAAAAGGAAATATAGTAAAAATCAACAGCAATACGATGTTAAGTTTCCAAAGCCTCTGCTGATGCATCACGAAAAATTGTACGTATCTACATTTTCAATATTGATCGACAGTTTACAGATTCGTCACAATTTTATAGGTATCTATTAACCTACTTACAAATTTTAAGTAGGTATAATGATTTTGTATAATTTTTGAGGGTAATTGTAAGACGTTAACGCATAATTGTGTGATCGAATTGTAAGAAATACATTGAAAAATATAAAAGTTGTTGTTTTATTCTGTTCTAGGATTTTAGACATCAGTTACTTTCAGAAGGGGACTTTGTGAAGAGTTTGTTAATTTGATAGTTGAATTCATGAATCATTTAGAGCAAGACCACGATGGAATTTTGGAAGCACTGGACGACCATTTCGTTGTAGTATGCGACTCCTCATCAGTGCATATCCATAATCCCATCATCTGTTGGGTTTTGATCGAATTAGTCCCACATTAATCAAAAGTGACCAAGTTCAATCAATAGAGTAGTAAAAATCTTATTTAAATAAGATTATGAAAATGATAAAAAGAAACCATATAGTAATTACTTTTTGACGTAACAACTCTTGAAACCACATTCCAAGTCGAAGAGAAAATGTACTTTCATTCTGATCCCAATCGCATAAACCGCTAAGATCTTGAATAAATAAAGATAATCAGAAACTTTGTTATTTATTGAATATTAAAATCAAAACTATAACCATTGAAATTACTATATTATCCACAAAACCTCATTCTGATATTAACCAACATATACTCACTGGTGACTGGCTTCAAGAGGTATATCCTGGAGTTCTAGTGAGAAGTAGTGACCAGTGGAGTTCAACCGAGTTTGTTGTGAGATATCAGCTCACTGAAGACAATGGTGGATGTATCATTCAATTTAGTGGATAATTTGAAGTTAAACATTAACACCATTGGATGTCGGTTCATTGGTCTAGTGGTTAAGCGCTCGCACATGAAACTAATAAATCCTGGATTCGAATCTCACGAATCGGGATCGTGGATACACATTGCTGAGGAGTTCCATACTAGTAGGGAACAGTCGTTTAGTGTTTCCAGGTTTTCCATAATGGTCTAACTTCAATTGACTCATGATCTCAACTATTGAAATTACTATACTATCCACAAAAACCGTTTCTGATATTAACTTCCATCTGTGAAAATATTTCATGGATCCTATTACATACTGAAATTTCACCGGTTTAAACGTATGATGTTCTACCATATATTTAAGTTGTTTTATTCATAACCTATTCCATTTAATCTAAAATGAAAACCGACCATATTTTCGTTAGATGATACGTAATTTGTATGTTTTACATGTAGAACCAATGCTGTAGATTGGAAATTTAGACATCTTTGTCATAAATTTAGATTTTGTTAGTAGTATTTCCTTACTGTTATTACACTTTATAAGTTCAGAAGTGATTCACTTTCATCTCTGAGTGATGTTAACACCGGATAACGTAACTGAGGCTAACTTTTGTCTATTATAGTGGCGCGAGATTGATAGGTCCTGGCTTTGAATCCCGCGGGGTGCGGGTTCGTGGATGTGCACTGTTGACGAGTTCCATACTAGGACGAAACGGCTACCCAGTGCTTCCAGGTTTTCCATGTTGGTCTATCCTCAATCGACTCATGATTTCAACAAGTGATATTATAGTTTAAACCACTAGGTACAATTCGATTTCTTCTTTCTTTAAATGAGTTAAAGCTTGAAAATGAATAGATTTGACTGTACAGATGACAAACTGATTGCCCGAAGTTGCTTTTTTTTAACCCACCCAAATAGGAGTTAAGTGCTTCTAATTTCAAATTCTCAAATACTACTTTACTGATAAATATTAAGTAGTATAATACTTAGATCTACAGTTTCTAAATGACTAAATTCAGTCACCTAACACAAAACATAGTTAACTACCATGTAGAATAATAGAGGTTAATGTTCATTCACATTTCGATATGATTCATAGAATTGGATCATTACTAAGGACTAGATAACTCGTGACGGCAGTGTTGTTTACGAAATTGAGAGGTGGAAAAGTGAGTATCTGACGATTTAACTCGATTGGTGAACACGGAGGGTTCACCCAGGGGAGTTGGAAAACTCTCATTCCAAACCAATAGTGTACATGGGTTCTATGACCCCAAAGAAACGAATGATGTATGAACCTATATATAGTCACCGGCTACCATAGGACTGCATCTCCTGACATTGTTCCACTGTCTTGTGAATTAAACCTTTAGGTCGAAGGCTCTGGATATGGCCCCCTAAGAAAACCACCTGTTTCGGTCCGGGTACCCGGGCAGTATCACATTCCACAAACAAATCAAATGACATATATGACACATATGTATTCATTGCCCCTTTATACTAATATTTATATATTCAAATAAATTCATAAACTAGACAACTTTGTGGTCACTTAATATAGATTGATATACTTTAAAAGAATTAGATCAGTGTCCTATTTTTTTTGTTTTCTAACCTGTTCTATGAGACAACTAATCTAATCAATTATTCATTGTAAATTGTCTCTATTTAATATTTCAATTGACATGTTGAAAGAGAAACAGTAATGATCCTTCCCTTCTCTTCCTTCCTTCCTTCCTTCCTTCCTTCCTTCCTTCCTTCCTTCCTTCCTTCCTTCCTTCCTTCCTTCCTTCCTTCCTTCCTTCCTTCCTTCCTTCCTTCCTTCCTCCTTCCTTCCTTCCTTCCTTCCTTCCTTCCTTCCTCCATTCCTTCCTTTCTTTCTTTCTTTGTTTTTACCTTTAACCATATGGACAGGAATGAACATGACACATTTGATAGATGAAATCTATTGACTGTTAATCAATGTTTCATTAGGATTTAGTAAAAATGAAATTTGATTTATGATTTGGAATAGTTAAATGATTCTAATCATCATTTCTATCCATCAAAATAGTTGACAGGATATAAACGAATGAAATAAAGATTGAATCAACAAAATTAAGAAAAGAATTTAGTTTATGATCACGTTATAATGGATTGTTATCACCGAATATCACGATGGGCAATGTTGACTAGTGTTATGGATGGTTGGAAGAAGTTAGTTTTGGCCAAACCAAAATGTGGGAACAATTATTGAAGTCACTGACTCCTAGTCTGAACCATGTTGGTAGATGCAAAATACTTGATTGGGGTCCGAGAGACTGTCGTAACCAATGGTTGGAGACTCTGTGTGACATGGCTCAGAATCGATCGATCACAATGAAGCCGGTGTCTACACTTTTTGTCTTCTCTTAAACTGTGAGATTAAAATAGGTTTACATCTTTCTTTCTACGAACTAATTCTTTCTTCCTGTAGTATATCCTTATATGCGATCCTTCTTTTATATATTACTACCATTGAAGTGACTACTTCCATGAATTTGGTGTTGATCTTGTTGTGCTAATGAAGTATGACAACTTGAACCGATGCGTATATGTGCCTGGTCCTACGTTGTAGCTGATTGACTAACTGACTGTAAATTCATGGTGGATGGTAGGGTTGTAGATTTGAAGGGGTTACCTAACAACAACCTTCATCCATCTAACATATTGACTAGAGTACTTATAGGATAAAAAACCTCTCTGAGTCTTCAAAAAAATGCTTCAGTGATTATGAGTTCAATGTATCAGCATTCATAAAGTAATCACAAAAGATCGAAACGTATTCAATGTATTTAATAATAAAGAATATCGACGCTTAGCATAACGTTGCATTATGCTTATAGTCTATATGATTCCTTTTAAAATAACTGATTCACACGAAATAAGATATCTTCTTCTTCTTCTTCATCTTCAATATTCTATCTCCAATAAAAGACCTAAAAATTTCATGAATGTCCTGAGAGTTCTTCCTAGATTTCATGAAATATATAATGGACCTCAGTTTGTCCATTGAGAAATAGGTTCTTCTTATGAACATTCAATATGTTATCATATTCTTTTTGTTGTTCTGTAATAGTCTATAAGCATCCAATGAATAATACATTCAGGAAAAACGATGATTCCAAAAGATGAAATTTTATTTCGGAACTAAATTCTACGGAATAGATTAACTAGAGATTCTAAAACTAATATTATATGCAACTAGTCTCTATTGATGATTTCACAATAGGAAGATAAAAGTAAAACAATACCAAATGAATTTAAACTTTATCTCATTGCACAAGAAAGTCATGATCAAGATTCAGTAGTTAAGTGGATAATGTGATAGTGTTTCAAGCGAATGATACTGGGTTCGAGTCCCTCTAAGTGTGAACATCAACTCTGAGATACAGATACATCTAACAGATGAGTTCCAAAGAGGACGAAACCAGTATCAAACTAGATTCCACTAGTAACCACTATCCATCTTTGCTTAGAATATATTTAATATTGAAATATTCTTTAAAATAAAACCTACCACGACATTCATCATAATATTTTATTGCAGAATTTTCATTTGCTCTATGATTACTGAATTGATCATTTCCACATCTTGAATCACCTGATCGACAATAACATTGATTTCTCCATAGATCACATTCATGTCTATATGTGACACCATCTACACATAACTAAAAGTAAGAAATATACGTAGTGAGCGAATACAGAGACGATTTACACTTTGTATTCTTGGAACTTTGCCTGAAGCCCCTCTGAGGTTACTGCCGCTCCCAAGCCCGAATAAAGGAGGAGGGTTGGACATGGGGTTAGTGACCCCATCCTGTAGAAAACGAACTCACTAAAAAACGCTAAGCAGACAAAAGATAAGTAATTCTTGGAATTCATTGTACCTTGACTTATAATTCTAGATGTAATAAACTTGGGTTCGACCCTTCATGGAAGAGGGAACTCAAACTGATTCTTATCTTTTTCTTCAAACTACTTTATAAACTATCGTTAACATCCAATCACGCGATTCAATATGCATAAACTTCTCATTATGACATCTGTAATTCCTTGGCACTAGTGAAACAAACTCATTCTAAATCATCTCTTTATATGAATTACTTTACCTATAAATTTTCCAGACTCTAGAATAACCTATCACAATCTATCCGTACGATAAAATCACTCCCATTATTTATTCGCTGCATCGATTCATACTGCTCCTATGAAAATGCATTGAATGTTCTAACGCCTTTAAGTGTATCTTATTCCACAAGTGATATTATAGGAATTTTAAATGTTTAGCCATCTTTATTAGTGTATTCCCTAAGTAAAAATACCTACCTACTGTCACTTTATATTAACACTGTCCCCAGGAAGTTTAACTCATTTGAATAACATCAACAGTATATCACCGGGTCACATGACACATGCATTTTGGTAGATCTGATTGGCATATTTTGATAATTACTGCTTTGTTGTTCCGTGCTCTCCGTTTTCGTTTTACTTTCTCTAGTTGTAAATGATTATCATGAATTCGTTCTGCCATAGGTAATAACCTTAAATACACCGTTCATAAATCAACAGGCTGTCCATTTAAGAAATATTAAAAATTCCCGGCTAATGCATTGGATCGCTGTAATATATGTACTACTTAAACAACTACTGAACTAGTATACTTAAAATTATCTTATATCATATAATTTATGGACCTAACCAATCAGAATTAAGATAATAGGATTTAGATTTTGACGCGAAATTCACTCATCCATTTGGCTAAATACAGTTTTGGCATGATAGCTGATGTTAGTTCGAATTCCTAATCCTTAACCATCAACTGTAAATCATCATCCTTATTCTTCAATCTACTTTCTAACCTTCATTTAGCCCTAGTAAGTAGGTAGACATTCTCAACGTCACGAAACGATCATTCATTGATTCTAGATTTTCCAAGATAGTCTACATTCAATTAACTTATGATGTCAACTATTGAAATAAGAGAAATATTACCTGTCATTCTAAGAGGTATAGCTTACCTAATGATAAATTTTCTGGAATTAGGTTTTTGATTGAGATCATGAATCGATTGATGTTAGACCACCACCTTTGGAAACCTGGAAGCACTGGACGGCCGTTTCATCCTATTTTGGGACTCCTCAGTAGTGCGCATCTACGATCCCGCTCGCGGGATTCGAACACAGGGCCTTCGGTCTCGCGTGCGAACGCTTAACCAACTGGACCACTGAGCCGGCATCCAATGGTGATAGTGTCTAATATCAACCAATCCACGAAATTGCGCGACCAACTTCCATTGTACTAAGGTAGATACCTGTCTCTACCCGACATGAATTAGCTCCACTGATCACGGCTTCTCACTAGAACTCTGAGAATTCCCTCACGATTAGAATGACTAATCAGAGTAGAACATTAGTTACTGACAAACAGTTGATTTATTCTCACCATGGTTATATATATATACAATAAATTCTCTTCTAAATATATATAGTTGATGATGTCTCCAATTGAATCAATTACAATTACTTCTTGGAGACAAGGCATTCTTTACTATGTACATGTAAAACTTTATGATTCGTGTTGACTAATTCAAAAGGTAAAATGACTGATATTCATTCAGTTCAACTAGTTGGAATAAAAGATAGAGTTATGATTTCATGAGAAGTCATGATAAGTAACTACATCAGATTACATAAAGAAAAGGAGATTACTATCAAGATGTTCTTTTGTGCATTATGCTCATAAAGTTTTGAAACGATGGAGAATACTTGTACCTAAATGGGATGCTCAGTTCTTACTTCGACATGAAGTAAGCGTTGATCATTTTGTCCATGGTGATAATGAAAAGCTTCAGAATTAGGCTTCCCAGTTCAATGAACACAATGAGACCAAAAAGAAATGTTCTTCATCAATAAAACACGTTAAAAACCCTATTGGTATCATTAAAATCAACAAGTAATCAGTATAGATCAATAAAATCTATCAGACTTACTTGTCGATTATAACTATTCCATTCAGATGGACAACTATCCAAACAGTTACATTTGCCATCTTTGCACATTTCACCCAATTTACATTTTACGTTTTCACAAGGATCTATAATCAATCAGTCAATCGATCGACCAATTGATTGATTGTGAGCAGAAACAAAGATAATAATAATAAAGTACACAAAAACAATGTGATAACCATTCTGAATAATAAATTAGTATTGCTAGGATAGGTGAACTACTGAATGGGGCGGAAACTTCGAGAGAGCTATGAAAGTTATCATTTAAAAGATACAAGTGTTTATGAATAGTTGTCTACGCAAAATACCTCAGATCCGTTGGTGAGACACTATCAGTAACAATCTATTGTTGAAGAGAACAAACCAGATCCCAGTGAAGGAAGAAATCAGGCAGAAGCGCTAGAAGTGGATAAGACACACATTGAAGAAAACACCTAACTGTGTCACAAGGCAATCCCTCACTTAGGATCCTCAAGGCTAAAGGGGAAGAGGAAGATCAAAGAACACATTACGCCGAGAAATAGAGACAGATCTGAGAAGATTGAATCACAATTGGATAGAATAAGAAAGGAAGTCCTAGAAAAGTGTGGGTTGGAAATGCTCGTCGGTGACCTGTATTCCATGGGAAGTAACATATGTAAGTAAGTAAGTAAGTAAGTAAGTAAGTAAGTAAGTAAGTAAGTAAGTAAGTAAGTAAGTAAGTAAGTAAGTAAGTAAGTAAGTAAGTAAGTAAGTAAGTAAGTAAGTAAGTAAGTAAGTAAGTAAGTAAGTAAGTAAGTAAGTAAGTAAGTAAGTAAGTAAGTAAGTAAGTAAGTAAGTAAGTAAGTAAGTAAGTAAGTAAGTAAGTAAGTAAGTAAGTAAGTAAGTAAGTAAGTAAGTAAGTAAGTAAGTAAGTAAGTAAGTAAGTAAGTAAGTAAGTAAGTAAGTAAGTAAGTAAGTAAGTAAGTAAGTAAGTAAGTAAGTAAGTAAGTAAGTAAGTAAGTAAGTAAGTAAGTAAGTAAGTAAGTAAGTAAGTAAGTAAGTAAGTAAGTAAGTAAGTAAGTAAGTAAGTAAGTAAGTAAGTAAGTAAGTAAGTAAGTAAGTAAGTAAGTAAGTAAGTAAGTAAGTAAGTAAGTAAGTAAGTAAGTAAGTAAGTAAGTAAGTAAGTAAGTAAGTAAGTAAGTAAGTAAGTAAGTAAGTAAGTAAGTAAGTAAGTAAGTAAGTAAGTAAGTAAGTAAGTAAGTAAGTAAGTAAGTAAGTAAGTAAGTAAGTAAGTAAGTAAGTAAGTAAGTAAGTAAGTAAGTAAGTAAGTAAGTAAGTAAGTAAGTAAGTAAGTAAGTAAGTAAGTAAGTAAGTAAGTAAGTAAGTAAGTAAGTAAGTAAGTAAGTAAGTAAGTAAGTAAGTAAGTAAGTAAGTAAGTAAGTAAGTAAGTAAGTAAGTAAGTAAGTAAGTAAGTAAGTAAGTAAGTAAGTAAGTAAGTAAGTAAGTAAGTAAGTAAGTAAGTAAGTAAGTAAGTAAGTAAGTAAGTAAGTAAGTAAGTAAGTAAGTAAGTAAGTAAGTAAGTAAGTAAGTAAGTAAGTAAGTAAGTAAGTAAGTAAGTAAGTAAGTAAGTAAGTAAGTAAGTAAGTAAGTAAGTAAGTAAGTAAGTAAGTAAGTAAGTAAGTAAGTAAGTAAGTAAGTAAGTAAGTAAGTAAGTAAGTAAGTAAGTAAGTAAGTAAGTAAGTAAGTAAGTAAGTAAGTAAGTAAGTAAGTAAGTAAGTAAGTAAGTAAGTAAGTAAGTAAGTAAGTAAGTAAGTAAGTAAGTAAGTAAGTAAGTAAGTAAGTAAGTAAGTAAGTAAGTAAGTAAGTAAGTAAGTAAGTAAGTAAGTAAGTAAGTAAGTAAGTAAGTAAGTAAGTAAGTAAGTAAGTAAGTAATAAACTAATTACAAACACATAGATAGAATATAACAATGAATGATGTAAAGAAAGAAATTGAACTTACCTTCATCCGATTCATCATCAGGTTTAGTCTGAAAAAAAGAAGAGTTTAGTGATTGATTCAATCCATACGGGAATTTTGTTGCTTATTCTAATTATTTCAATGATATTAATATATCAGTAACGAATTATTTGATCATTTTAAGTGGGAATAAAATGTTAAACACCATATTACAATTAACAATAAGGGAATAAAGATTAAAGGTAGATTAACATGGAAAATTTAGAAGAACTGGATGATTGTTTTGTCCTAATATGGGACTCTTCAACAGTTGCTAAAATCCCAGCACAAAATCACCTTCTGATAATAATCATCACATGCTCACTAATGATTTGATTCAAGAGGTATTTCCTAGAGTTCTAGTGAGAAGTCGTGACCAGTAAAGTTCAACCAGGTCTGTTGTGAGATGGTAACTCTATTAAGACAATGGTGGATGGTGATGGAATTTCTTGAATTGGTTGAAGTTAGACATTATTAACATCCGCTCAGTGGTGTGGAGGTTAAGCGTTGGCACGTGAGACTAAAGGTGTTAGGTTCGAGTCCCTTTCGTGTAGGATCGTGGATGTGCACGGCACAGTGAGACGAAACGGCCGTCCAATGATTTCAGGTTTCCCATAATGGTCTAGCCTTAATTAGCTCATGAATTCAACTATTAAATTACTAAAATCTCCACAAGACCTCCTGAAAACAAAGATTATTTGATTCGACTATTCGTACAATTTAAGCCAAATGCAATAAATAAACCATCTTGAAATATAACGTTACATAACTCCATCTGGAGCCCCTCTGGGGCTACTACCGGTTCCAAGCTCGGATAAAGGAGGAAGGTTGAGCATGGGGTTACCAACCTCATCCCGTAGGAGACTAACTCGTTGAAAAAACGCTAACCAGAAAAATAATTCAAACCATTTAAAGTATCAAAGTGACTGCAGCAAAAACAATAAATATAGTTGAATAACAGAAATTCATTGTATTTTACTGTCTCTCATTAGCTATTCCCAATATAAATATGATAGTATTATTCCATAATAATCAGTATACATACTTTACATCATAATACCGGTAAAGCTGTCATAA